GACCTCTCCTTGCTAACGATGTGTGTGCATGTGTGTATGTTCTCCTCAGGACCATCTCACAGCTCGTTAACTGAGTCTGGTGGAGGTATTGTGTCAGTCCTGTCAGCAAGGTGTGACCCCACGCTCCGTATCTTTTGCTTTTTCTAGTCTTACACCTGCTCTTGTTGTCCAGGTTACAGACAACCAGCCACACCGTAATTGGATTACACACCGAAACTAAATTCACTGCCAAGAGCCCCTTCTCTCTCTTCTGATGAGTTGTGTTGGTTTTAACTTTGAAGAAAATGGATAGAAAACTATTAATCATACATTTCTAATAGTATGTAAGTGCAAATCTAACATTGGTGCACATTAACATTTCTGGTTGTCCTAAATTAAACATGGACATTGTTGAATGTTGTAAAAGTCATTTCATGTTTTATTTGAAGCTTGTAACAGGCATTGATATACCAATACCTTGGCACTGACTCAGTAAAGTTGATAGAGCTGCCTCTACTGTTTTCCATTCATAACAACTGACTGGAAACAGATTGGTTAAATTGTGGCTCCTATTAGCAGTCAGTAACATCCCAGAAGGCCTAGAGTGATGTTTTATAAACTGTAAATCACTGTAAATTTCACACTAGAGCTTTTTTCCAGACCCAGGGCGGCTTGCTTTGCAAGTTTGGTAAGTTTGGTCAAGTGTGAAAGCTGTTTTGGAGCCCATGGTTCAGAGAACACATCTCTGGTTCTCCTTAATTAGGTGAGCTAGGGTTTGCTTCCAATGGGCTGGGCCACTGCACGTGTAGAGGTAAAGGTAAAGGTATCCGCCCCTGGCACTGCATGTGGAATTGTGTGATTGGTTCATTTTGTAACATGACTGCTTTGACTTATTGCATTACTTACTTTTTCAAGAGTTTTTCTTGATGGTGGGGAAAGGATTGTTGTGGACAAAAAGCATTGTTCTTTGCTGCTTGAGTGTTTGTATCCAAGGAAAACAAAAAAAGCAGCCAACAGATGAAGCTAGTGCCTACCATTTTGCAAACCTGCATGCAGAAAAGTGATGTATAGAATTGCGCAATTGATCCATGATTCGGATGGAATCCTTGGGTGTGAAAGCAAAACAGCGATCAAGAGCACCTCCCCAAAATGAGCCTGGAATTGGTCCTGGGTGCAGACTCAAATATTCGGGACAAGTGTGAAAATGCCCTCAAAATGCCCTTGGCCGATTCCATTGTCAATTCCTAGTTATGTTTGTCCTCAGCTATTGAAATCGTAACCAAGGGTCCCCCATATATCTGATGTTGGATCTGTCTTGCAGTTTACATTCCATTCATCCCAGAGGGGTTGAGGGCAGGGCGCTGTGCAGGCCACTGGAGGTCCTCCACACCAGACTCATCAAACCATGTCTTTATGGAGCTCGCTTTGTGCATTGGGGCACAGTAAACCTGGAACAGGAAAGGGCCTTCCCCAAACTGTTGCCACAAAGGTGAAACATATAGTTGTCTAAAATGTCTTTGTGTGCTGTAGCATTAACATTACCTTTCACTGGCACTAAGAGGCCAAGCCCAAACTCTGAAAAACAGCCCCAGACCACTATCCCTCCTCCACCACTTTACTGTTACTCCACAACTTCACTGTTGAAACTGCTGGTACTTTACTGTTGGCATCCATCAAACCCAGATTTGTTCATACATTCATCTATCCATCCAGATTCATAGTGAGGCATGATTCATCACCCCAGAGAACACATTTCCACTGTTCCAGTGTCCAGTGGTGGTGTGCTTTACACCGTTCCAGCTGATGCTTAGCGTTGAGCATAATGATCTTGGGCTTGTGTGCTGCTGCTTGGCAAAGGAACCCCAAGAACTGTGCTGAGCAGAATTAGTTTATGATAAAAGATGAATGATGAAATAGAGGACAGGCACATTTTACACGTCTCAGTACTTGGTGGCCCCACTCTGAGTTTGCATGGTTTACCACTTCATGGCTGAGCTGTTTTTGTTTATAGACACTTCCTGTTCACAATAATAGCACTTACAGTTGACCAAGGCAGAAATTTTACAAACTGACTTGTAGCAAAGGTGGCATCCTATGACAGTGGCATGTTTAAAGTCACTGAGCTCTTCAGTATTTCTACTGCCACTGTTTGTCTGTTTGTCTATGGAGATTGCATGGCTATGTGCTTGATTTTATATACTTGTAAGTAATGAATGTGGCTGAAACACCTGAATTTAGAGGTGGACAATATGGGAAAAAATATTCATTGGTATATTTTAGTTTAGAAATATATACTTGGTTTATTACCTTCTTATCTATGCAATCTTATATATTAAAAAGGAACCGGTAATTATATTCTGCATGCTCAAAAATGTTTATCATCTTAAGATTCCTACCATGCGTAGTGAATTAGGAGAAGAAGCTTTTTGTTATGCTGCACCGTCTGATTGGAATTTGTTACAGAAAGACTTCAGGAACTTGCGTCATTGAATAGTTTTAAAAACGTTCTGTTAGTTAAAACTGTTTGTCAGTGTTTTAAATGATTTTTTATGGGTTGTTGATTATTGAATTTTTTATTTGTTTTGTAATAACAATTTGTTATGTGTTGCTGCCTGTTTTGGCCAGGGGTCTTCTGTAAAAGAGATTTAAAAAGAGATTTTATCCAGGTTAAATTAAGGTAAATTATATCACTGTACTTCAAGACGTTTTCACGATACACAATATGCATCATGATATATAGTTTTTCTGAGATTTAATACATTGGAACAGACAAAATAGGACCTGTAACGGCACATTATAAAATGCAATAATAATAATAATAATAATAAAAATAATAATAATAATAGTAATAATAAATCTATAATTACAGTGATTTTTATTCAATGTTTCCTGTACAGCACTGCTCAAAATCTAATTAAACAGGAAATGAAACATAATGAAACGTAGTACTACACTGTTATCCACAATATGCTCAGAAAAACATATTGTGACATAATTTATCATGATAACAATAAACAAATCAAGTTATATCATAGTCAAAGTGCAAATTTATGTCAAAAGCAGCACTAAGAGGTAGTTTGGACAGTAAATAGGATGACCATTTAACCTACATTTCTGATGGTGCTATAGAGGACCTAAGGTGTAGCTGCAGCACCCTCCCGCTGGACAGGGAGTTTCCCCCTGGATTTACTAAGTTCCATCAGAAGAACCCCTGATCTAATTTAATGAAGGATTGATTTGGTAAAAAAAGGTATTGGATGTTAGCTGCAAATACTGGGCTACCTTGAGGAGAGCTTTGGGAATGGTTAAGCTAACATACTGACACACATCAAACCACAGCTTTCTTTAATTGTTTATTTGTTCATGTTGGTTCTTTTTAGAACAAATGAATGCTTACTCCCCAGATTAATAGCTTTACATATCATTTTCTCAGTATTTGGCACTGTTCTATAGGTGTTCACTACAATTAGAGTGTTTTCCACTGCACATTCAAAACCAGAACTGACCCATACAGGAACCAGTGTGACTTACAGTTCTTATTCTATTTCACTTTCCACCTGCTTGAGACAGCCCACCTCACTGGTCATAAAAACTGTGTTTAATTATTTTTTTCTAAATCGTTACATCATTTAAAGTCTTTTTGGTCATTTTATGCCACTATGAACTGTCTAATTTGTCTAATTCCCTATCCTGTTTGCTACTTAGCTTAACTTTTTGGCTGTCACAAAACTCTGAAACCTCTCTATCTTCACTTGAAAAAGGAAACAGTTTGCTAAATTATCACTAGTAAGACAGAAGAGGATACTGTCGAGTACAGTTAAGGCCTGTTGGTACCAGTTAACCATTGGACAATCTGTACGAACCGTATATGAAAATATACAGTTTCAGTTGATAGCACAACTGTAGCACATCTGTTGATGCACAATTTGTCAAACACACTCTAACCTGTTCATCATCGGTCTGTTTCTCTACCACAGGACTGTTGTTGACCAGATATTATTTGAGTGGTGGTCTGTTCTCATCACACCTGTGTTGGGTGGTGGTATGATAGCATGTGCAGTGCTGGTGTGAGTTTTACACACGTCAACATCTCTGTTAGGTTGAGTGTAACACCACCCAAAAAATATTCAGCCAGGAGCAGCTCTGTGGTCAAAAACTGACTATTGATGAAGGTCTAAAGGCTGACTTACACAAACTTCACATCAGCAGATGGACTACAGTCTCTAACACCAGCAAGGAGAAGCTATGAGGTTGGGGTTTCTGATACAGTGTCTGTTGAGAGTTCATGCATTGCAGTTTCTCATAATTCAAACTGCAACCCCAAGTGTCTTCATGAGAAAATGCAGAGCCTTAAAGCATATGAAAGAGGCCCAACTCTAAGCTTATGAGTCACGTTTTTGCGTTGGGAGGGCGCTGGATGGCGGTCTGTGGGTGTTCTGAGGCCGTAAATGAAGCATTACCTGTTTCAGCAGGAGTCCCCATTTCTGCAACCCTCGCCTTTTTCTTTAGTTCTTTAGAGGACTCATTCATTCCGGCCCTCTTCCCTCTGCTTATCTCTCCCGCCACTCCAAAACTCTCCCTCCCTCTCGCTGATTTGAAACAGACGCTGATCTCTTTTGATTGTGAGAGGGCACTAGCCCTCCGGTCATTTGATATTTCACGCCCTTTATATTTAGCCATGATGTGTCTCTCCCTTCTTTCTCCCTCTGTTTTGCAATCAGGATAATCAATCTGAACCTCTTCTGGGTCTCTCTCTCTCTCTCTCTCTCTCTCTCTCTCTCTCTCCCCCTCTCTCTCTCTCTCTCTCTCTCTCTCTCTCTCTATCTCCCTCTCTCTCTGTCTCTCTGATGGCCTCTTGCTGTTTTGATATGATGGTGTATTCGATGCAGCATTTCTTGGCAACAACACAACAACAAGAACGTCTGGAAGCTAACACAAGTGTTTTGTGTCTTTTGTTCAGTCATCCAAGAGACACAGATTGTTAGAAAAACCTCCATTTATTAGCAAAAGTATAGTTTACAGATACATATGGTGGATTACAGATTCCTTCAATAACCCCAATCAGGAATGGCCACACTGGGGATGTCATATTTGTAGGTAAGAGATGCAAGTTGGCCATTGGTTATCATAGTAACCAGTGCACAACCACTGACAGTTGCACTGGCGGCCCTATAGTGGGGTGCAGGGGTGGTGGTGGGGGAGTGGGGTGCATTACGATCGTGCCTCCTAATGTCTTAATTAGACTTTATATGGCTACTTTTATACCTTTATGGGCAGGTGTGATCAAGGTTGGTAACAGAATACATGTAACAGTGTTACGTAATCAGGATACAAAATTATGTAACTGTATTCCATTACAGTTACAGAAACACAGGGTTGGGCAGTAACGGAATACTTGTAATAGGTGCATCAGAAAAAATATCTTGATTACTGGCAAGATAACAGTTAAACCACATACATTAAAACTCATCAATTTTCATCGAAATTAGCCATTTTCTTTAGAAAAATGTCAGATTTGAAGAATTGAGAGGGAAACCTGAAGAAGGATCCCCCTCACAGGCAGCAGTTTACGGTCTATTATTTGGCCAATCTATAGAATTTCTAGCTAATATAAACGTTAACCATGAAGAATAATGTGGAACTGAAGAATAACGAGGTGGGAAAAGACCTTATTCATTATTGAATTGTACGACTTTAAAAAGGCAAGTAATCCAAAAGTAATGGAACGTAATCAGATTACATTACTTTAATATAGTAATCCTTTGGAGTACATTACAATTACTTTCCAGGTAATCACTAATCTGTACTAAAATACATTTGTAAAGTAATTCTCCCAACACTGTGCTATGATAAACGTCAGCCCTAATGGTTCATCAACTTGGTTGAGATATTGAAATAGTGAGTGAACTAGCAAATTACATTTTAACATATTAAAAGTACATTTGTTTATTCATTGAAGGTAATTTTCATATTTGGCGGCAATTAATTTTTTTGCACTGGGGCCCATAAGATCCTAGTTAGTGACTAGCCTTTCTCATTCCTCTTAATTTGATGAAGGGCTTTCACTCAGTAGGCCAACCACTTGCACCTACATCAAGTAATATACCGAGAATAATTAATGTTGACGATACATATCAGTGAGATAATTAACATCACCATCCCGGAGTAAAGACCTAGGGTGCTGCTTCAGCGATTCCTGATTGGAGCTTTTAAATAATCTCATTTCTTCTCATTTTTCTCAGCAGCAGACTATACAATAAGTGGCCATTCTTCTGGAGATTGCCTCCTGTCCTGATCAAAGCCATAGTTTTTTTCCGAAACCACACAGTATAAGGTTTTAGGAAAGCGTAAGCTGATATTTCCACACCCAGCGTTTGTATTTTATTCCACAGATGGATACTGATATAAATGCTATGGTTTTGGATGGGGCATCAGGACCAGGGTGCTTTTCCACATTGAATTCAGAATCGGGTGGACACAGCAATCTCATAAAGTTCTGGGTATAGTTTCTCATAAGGTCAGTTATTACACACGACACATATCATCGCATATCATCAAAGACGAGACAAGAACACTCATACAAAGACAAATATCTTCATGAAACGGCTAAACGCAACTTGGCTTGACTCTCGTTTCCACAGCTACTGTCCAGAAACAGAAAACCACACGCTCACGGCCTCATCACGCGGCTAAAATAGCACTCCCAGAGAAAAGATGAGTGGATGAGAGAGACAAATGGAGTTTTTCTGATCTACTGTGCAAGGTTTGTGTGGTCGTGGCTGCTTTTTAAAAAATTGTTAGACAAGCTAGGAGAAAATGAACATTTGCTGAATGTTTGCTGAAAAGTATACAAAGTGGTCTGAATCAACTGAAAACGTGGCTTGTTTAGATTTAAAAGGATTAGACATCAAATGTGTACAAACAAACAGAGGAATGAGTGAGTAAATGACTTCATAAGTGCACAAATTAATAGCCGAATGAATCCACAAACAAACGAGTGAATAAATAGTGAAATGAGTAAATAAATGAATGAAAAATAAAGAAAGCAAATAAATAAGTGATAGACAATTTCAATCAATCACTCAACCAGATTTGACTGCCTGTCTGAATGAAGAGGAAGGAAATGACAAATCCATCCATCCGTGTAGCCACTGAGCCTCGGCTAAGATAAAATCTTTCAGGCAGATCAGTGAAGACCCCTCTGTCTCTCTCACTGAACAAGACACTGAAACGTCCTCGCTTTATGAAATCATGAGCCTTGACCGTTGCCCCCTCACCCTCGTGAACGTTTGACCTCTGCCGCTAATCAGAGTAGAGGATGAAGCCGGCGAAGGTGCTGTACTTGTTGCTGTTGCCTCCGTGGGCTTTGCCTCCGTCCAGCTTGATAAAGATTTCGTCTCCGGGGTCCAGATGCAGAATGACCGTGTTAGAGGCGTAATCGTAACTCTGATCCTGATCCTGGGCTATAGCACTCGCCCTCACCTACAGAGAGAGAGAGACATAGAGAGAGAGTTCTGTGTTTGCAGTTTGAGTGTATAGTGTGTATACACAATACATAAATGAATATGTTTATTTTTTATTTATTTATTTCTTCTGATGTAATATTATCATTAGTATTAAACCTCCTCTAATGCTTTGGCTACAGCTGCATACCAGTAAAGCCCTTTGAATCTGAATTTGGGGGGGGGGCAGAGTGAGAAAGAGAAAGAGAAAGAGAGAGAGAGAGAGAGAGAGAGAGAGAGTGATGTAGAGACGGAAAAAGAAATCTGTAGAGAGAAAAACAGAGAAAGAGAGAGAAGGCGATGTGAAGAAAGGAGAAGGAGAACGGGATGTAGAAATAGAGGGAGAAAGAAAGAAAGATGTGGAGAGAAAGGTGTAGGGAGAAAGAGACAGTGAGAGAGAGAGAGAGAGAGAGAGAGAGAGAGAGAGACAGAGAGAGAAAGATGTACAGACAGAAAAGGAGAAAAAGAAAGATATAGAGAGAAAAATGTAGACAGAAAACAATGTAAAGAAAGGAGAAGGAGAAAGTAATGTAGAAATGGAAGAAGAGAGAAAAGAAAGATGTGGAGAGAAAGATGTAGGGTGAAAGAAAGAGGGTAAGAGACAGTAAGAGAAAGATGCAAAGAGAAGGAAGTAGAGAGAGAAGATGCAGAAAGACAGATGTATGTATCATAGAGATAGAGACAGTAAGAGAACAAAAGAAGCAGAGAGAGAAAGAAATGTTGAAATAGAGGAAGAAAGAATAAAAGATGCAGAGAGAAAGAGGTAGAGAGAGAGAAAGAAAGATGTAGAAAGAGAGAGAAAGGAACAAATACATAGAGAAAGCAACAGTAAGAGAACGAAAGAACAAAAGAAGCATCTATCTATCTTCTGCAGTATTATCACTATTACTATTCAGCCATTTTATAGCTTTGGCAGCAGTTGTTAATGCCGGCGTGTCCCAGTCAAGCCATTTGAATCTGAATAAGAGAGAGAAATTAATGCGGACTGTGAGTGTTATGTGGTTGTGTTGGAGTGCTGTTGAAAGCGAGGTGTGAGCTGGACAGGCAGGACGGACGTTTTTGCGAGTGCGGAGAGAGAGAAGTGAGGGGAATGTCAGTGTATCAGTCAGGCGAGGAGAAGCTGTCCCTGCAGGCCGCCTCATCCTGCTCTCTTTAACATGAGTAACAACGCTGACTCAACCAACACACACTGTCTGCGTGTGTGTATGTGTGCATGTGTGTGTGCTAGATCAGTGTGGGTTAGCGCTTAAAGCACTCAAGGTCAAACCACAACACGCATAGACACACACACACAAACAAATCTGTGCACTTTACTCTGTTTAGCTATGCTTTAGTACACATTTGAATTTCATGGTTTTGACAGATTTTATATCAGCAGATACGACTGTAAGGTCAAATTGAACTTCTCCACATACACATCGCTACATTAGATCCCACGTAAAAACAAACACACACACCAGTATTTATGTGTATGTATAGTACAGTGAAAAAGTCAGAGACCACCCTGCAGTCATTTAATTTCTAGTCAAAATCATTATTTGATGTTTATTTTTCAGTGTCAGAAAAAGCATGAAACATATATTTAAGTTACACTGAAGCTCCTGTGGATTTTTTCAGATCTGAAATAAGAGTGGAGCTTGTTTTTCTCCTCTCTCTCTAAGATGAAGGTTTACAAACTGTTTATCTAACGGTGACAGTTTTGGTGGTCTACCAGGTCTTGTGCGGTTGAGTTCCATTTTCTCTACAGTTTTTAGTAATTTTTTTGTACTTTTTGAATTTTGGAAGCTTTTTTTTGTCATTTGACATTCCTCTTTCCTTATGTCTAATCTCCTTAGAAATTTCAAATCAATCATTTGTACTTAATGGACGCTGTAATTGAAAATTAAGTAAACGATCAGGACAAACCTTTACAGAACAAAAATTACATACAAAATTTTTACATGAACTATTTCAGTATATGTATGCATATTGTATAAGGAATTTTCACAATTCACAGTTTGAATATACACAACCATTTTAACAATGGGATTACACTGAACATATTATTAACAGATAATAGTAGTAAGACCGTTTTCTAAATCTCTTATCCTTCTGGGTCGCAGGGGGCACTGGAGCCAATCCCAGCGGTCATTGGGCGTAATGCACCCTGGACAGGTCACCAGTCCATCGCAGGGCTGCATTTATGCAGTTATATTTAATAATATTTTGGACACGAGCATATTTACCACTGTGTTACATCACCTTTCCTTTTAAGAACACTTAATGACCATTTGGGGACTGAAGAAACAAACTGATCCAGTTTTGAAAGTGGACTTTTTGAATTTTTGCCATCCGTCTGTATGTAATATACAAATCTTCAGCTATATAACCATACAGGGTCTTTCTGTCATAGTTTAAGCTTAATAAAATACACATTTTCAATGGGAGACAGGCTAGGCCAGTCTAGCACTTGCACATGCAGAATGTGGCTTGGTATTGTCATGTTGAAATAAGTGTGGATGTACCTAAAAAGACAATGTCTAGAAAGTGTCTAAAAGGCATCATATGTTGCTCCAAAATGTGACCAGCGTTAATGGTGCTTTGACAGATGTGCAGGTTAACCACTAATACACCCCCATACTCTGACAGATGCTGGCTTTTGAACTTTACTCTGGTAACTCGGTTGACTCGTCAGACCACAGTGTTCATTTCTACTGTGCCTCAGTGCATTTCAAATGAGGTCAATGTGACTAGCATTTATGGATACAGCAGCGGACAGTGTTTATTGACAACGTTTTTCAAAGTATTTCTGAGCCCATAAGGTGATATCCATCACAGAAACATACCCGTTTTTTAATGCAGTGCAGTCTGAGGAGTCAAACGATAATGGTCATGGACATATATTTGTGGTTTTCGACTTTTTCCTTTATGCACAGATATTTCTTTGGAATCCCTGAATTTTTCAATATTATGCACTGTACAGGGCGAAATACCTAACATCATTGAAGCCCCTGGCTGTTGTTTTTAAACTAATTGATTTTTTGATGATGCTTTTTTGGTAAAGTGGCGAGATTTCATTCCAAGTCATCCTGACCCTTTTACACAATGTAAAGGACAGCTAGTGTTTTCAAAATATGTCAGAAGCAACAAAAACAGAGATAGAAAGTATTGCCCCAATAGTGATGATATGTTGCCCATACACGACTACAGTGTTTTGTTGGCACATACGAAGACACGGACAACATTGCACATTTGGGCAAATGCTCTTTTATTTTAAACAGGCGCTTCAACAGAGGCAGCGAAATGCCCAGCTCAGCGCTCCCCCAAAGCGAAATATGAGGAGGGGAAGACACAGGAAGACACGACACACAAGGAGGCTAGACAGTTCTAAGCACTAGTTACACTACAAAGCCCTCCTCCTCACAGACAATTCTGCAGCCCAAAGTCTGTAAGGCATGCAAGTGCTCACTGCAGCCTCTCTGCAGCTGGAGTCCCAGCCTCTCCACCATCCTGGCCAGCACATGGGCCGCGGGGTGCCCCCTTCTTGGCAGCAAACACCCCCAGTCATCTCTCGGGGCCATGTTCTTGGCACCACGGCTCCTCCTGGCCCAGCGCACAACATGGAGACGGTGGCAGGGCTCCTACTGGGGGCAGCGGAACTCCTCATAGCTCACAGCGTTAAGTCCGAGGCTACTGGGGCAACGACAGCAGCAGCGGTCCTTCCACCTTCCACTTTCTCTACTGTCCACTGTGTCATCGATCCTGACAGGGTTGCTGCTAGTATGCCCTGCCCTTGGCCCTTGGGGATCCACCGCTAGCCGTTGCAAGCAGCTTCACTTGCCCCATTTCCAAACCTGGACATAATTTGGACAGTCATTGCTTCCCAGTTGTTGGGTGTACCGCTCTCGGGATGGGGGAAGCACACCTGAACGTAGCAGTGACGCTGATGAGCCTGTGTCAGTGACGGCTGTGAGCTGTTTTCCGTCTATGCTGCACTCGACCCGACCCTCTCTGCCTGACTGGTGTGGTGAGCACATTCAGAAACGGTTCCAGCACCAACTCTTCCTCCGCAGCCTTCTCGGGTATACCTATCAAACCGCTCAGCTCTGCCACTAGCACCTTATACACTCTCTCTTTAGCCTCCACTTCTCCGCAACAGCTGGCCCAAATACACTACTGACACCTGCCTGAAGTGTTGCTGAGGGGCCGTGGTCAATGCTGCTAGGTTGTCATGTGCAGATTCACAAGCACCTACTTTCCCCTGCGGAACACAGCTGTATCACAGTGATGGCCGCCATCCAGCCATAATGCTGGGCAACCACTTGCAGCTGTGTGGAGTACGGCTCCCAGGTGCACTTGCCAACAAGGTATGTCCCGTCATGAGCATGGTATGTGTGCCATCTCTATCTCACCGGGCTCCAGCTGGGCTCCCCTGTTTTCTTCACCATCTTCCCCAGCCAGCAACCTCACCCTCCGCGGGCTGGATCCATCTAGGAGTGAGCAAGCATAGCGCTTGGTACCCCCTTCTTCTGGGCTATGTCTTCTTTGCTGTACCTTCGAGTTTGTCGATGTGCTGCTCGACCTCCTCAAACTCGGTGATTGCATCCCACTTCTGACGCTAGCCCAGGGCTCCCCACGTGGGAGGACACAAGACAAATGTCCATTTTTGAACCGGGAGTGTGGTGCACCCCGAGAGCCACTTTGCATGGCCACATCCCCTAAGCTCCCCACGCAGCATGGAGCCTGTGGTGGATGCCTCAGTACTATGGTTAAGGGACTACATGTAAGTACCTTTTGAGTTAAGCTGGCATTCTGTATTTTAACCTCATAGCATTTATAGCTGAAACAACAATTGTGTCTATAACTAATTTCTCATGGACCACAGTGTTTAAATAACACAAGCATTAAAATATATTATTTGATGTATATATGTTTGACATAAAGTTTGGATGGTCAGTTACTGTTAGTTGCATACAGTGGTTGTTTTCCTTTATTCAAGCAGTGCTGGAGAGAAAAAATGCAGATTTTTCAATGCAATAGTTAAATTTCTAGTTTTATCTCATAAAGTACTGTAGTAGGATAAATGATTATTCTGTGCTGCAAGCCTGTTGTCTGATGTTTTTATAATGTAAGGCTCATTTTGTACATTTTTTAATTCATGAATCATAGTTTAAGAGGAAATGGGCTCGACAGAGTACCACAGATTGCTCTTTGCATTTGTGAATGCTACTAGTTCAACATTCATGTCTGTTTCAGTCATCATCACCACATGTTATTATTATGTAAGTTAGATATGGAGATTTAGTTTGTTCGGGAAGCATCTTAATGTGTCCTTGAAGGAGTGAAGAAAAAGTTGCACGGTGAGATTTATTGAACTTGTAGCCCATTTCCCTGATCAAAGACCACCATTTGCCTACTCTTCCAGCCATTCAGTGAGCGTTAATGTACCTTAACATTTCTTATAGTTCTAACGGAAATTCCCATTTAGAATCTCTTTAAATTGCTGGCGGTTTACAGTGGTTCGCTGTGCTGTATGTGTTTATTTTGCACTTTTAGCACATGACAGGTGTTGTTGCCTTCACGCTAACATTCTAAAACAGCTTTTGGCATCAACAGTGCTGCCTGTGAGATTTCTGTTCAGTGCTAACAATGCTGTGTGTGTGTGTGTGTGTGTGTGTGTGTGTGTGTGTGTGTGTGTGTGTGTGTGTGTGTGTGCGCACTGTGCACTTGTCTTTCTGTACTTTTGAGGACTTGAACACCAGATGTCTTCACAAAGATGTATTAAAATTCTCAAAAAGGGCCCAAACATTTATTTTTTTCGTTTTTGGTTTGTTAGTTAGGCTTATGATTAAGTATTAAAATGACTAATTATACATCAGACAGGTCCGACAGATCCAAATTAGAAGATTTCATCTTTAAATGGCCAGGACCCACCAGCAGGTTCAGGCTTTTGTTGCACACTTATTTGTATAGTAGTAGTAAGTCTTTTTGCATTTATTGCATTATTTTCCATATAATTACTGAGTAATAAGTAGAGATGCACAGATGATGAATTTGTATGGCAGATTCCAATTTCTTTACGGCTAAACTGGCTGAGGGACGAACTTTTTGGTCGACTTCTATGTTCTATTTTTTTATTCTATACTACTAACTTTCAAAGGCACAATATAAATGACAATACTTGTTTCTAATGGGCCAAATTGGCATTTTAAGTTCTTAAAAAAACAGTTGAAAAAGTTATTTCAATAACAAATGAATAATGAATCAAATTAAGTGCTACATCAACAGGACGAGGCAACTGGCTGTTTAGCACAATGAGTCATCTAAAATTGCGCCTCAACAATTTGATAGAGGTGTAGCAGTGTTTAAATGCAGTTTGAGTGTACTTATCTGCCTCATGTCATTTACACCATAAAATACAAAACACATCAACTGAGATATATATAATAAATTGGCAATTGTAGGTTTGGAAAATACATACAAAAATATTTGTAGATCACGTTTATATGTATATTTGCGTTTAATTGCATAGTGTATAGTGCATATAGTAAGTATATTGTTACTTTAAAAATGTTTTCATTTTTCTGCATCATTTAAATCTGGCAGCTGTCCTTTACATTGGGTGAAAATGTCATGATGAATGGTCCAATAGAAAGGCTCCAAAATCACTTGGAATAAAATCTCTTTACACTGACTTACATTCAAAGTTAAGAACGTTTTTGCTGTCTCCTGTAAAGTTACTATTTTGGTGGTAGACAATTATATGTTAAAATGTGTTAACATTAACTAAATACATCAAAAATGCTACACCACTGGCTATGGCTTGATTTTCTTTGGACAGTGACGATACTTACGTATAAACATATATGCATGGACACTCGATCCCTGTCGCAGCCTTGCTGCTTCACTGGCTATGTGTGTGTGTGTGTGTGCGTGTGTGTGTGTGTGTGTGTGTGTGTGTGTGTGTGTTTGGCGGGCCGTATGTGTTTGAGAAAGCTACTGATTCGGGATGACACAGTAAAGGAAGGCAGGAAAAAAGGACACACATAAACACACACACACACAAGCAAACATGCTGTTCTTGGTTTGTCCTGCGGAGGAAGCTTTTGGTTCAGTGAAGCCTCATAAGCTCTCACTTCTGTTTACGCTCAGTAGCGTACACACTGAAATACGTACTGACATCGCTCTGTTTTTAAATGTCTTCCAAAAGATAACTTCATTGGTGTTTGTGGCAGCACATACACTTCGAGTGCGGCACTCGGATTCCCTTAAGCGTTTCATTACAGAGCCAAGAAACTCAACAGTCTCTGCTTGGACAGATGGGGTATGACTGACTATGACTCTTACAGTCGTGCTGCATTTATAGGTACTGTTTTCTTTGGTTGGTCGGTCTGTCTGTCTGTCATGCACCTCCGCTCCATTTTTCTCCTACAAGTACAGTCAAATACAGACGTTTGGGCGCCCCTGGTCAAATGACATATTTTGTTGGTTTAGAAAATAAGTGAACACATCCTCTACAGAGAACACAGTTCTGCACATTTTTAATGCACAATTAAAAGGTGCAGTTTATATACCAAATTTTAACATGTTGGGAAAAATATGCATAAAATGTGGCCTGTGCAAAAGTTATGGTACAGTATTTTATGTTTTCTTTTTTTCAATATGTAAAACTCAGCAAGTAAATAGAAAATATGATCTAAAATCTGCAGAAAAATGCGTGTCATCACAAAAATCTCCAAAACAGTAACTTTACAGGGGAAGGAAAAAAAATCTTAACTTATAATGAAAGTTAATGTAATGTGTTTATTACATTGTAACACTTGTCAATAGTCCTTATTTCTGCTTTATTATCATCACATTTCTCTTTATTTGAGTTTTAGGTGTATTTTGTTCACCAAGTTTTACCAAGTTTTACCAAGTTTTCACCAAGTATGTGGGCTATAGCCTCCCAATGTTGGTACCCCCTACTTGTCAAATTTGACAGGGGTTAAATGTGTACCCCTGTCCTCAATCCTCTCCAGGATCAATAAAGTGCATCTGCAGTTATATGCAAAGTGAAAATAACACACTTCTCTACATTTTAATGCACAATTACTGTTTATTTACTGAATTTAACATACTGCAAAAAAATAAAAATAAAGCATAAATGTGGACTGTGCAAAAGTTATGTCACATTTTATATTTTATGTTTAATTTTTTTTCCAATACGTTTAAGTAAAAATTCCATGTAGAGGATGTGGATTCTTATTTCCACTTAGAAGTCAACCTTTCCATACAACTATATGTTTGCCAAAATGAGATTCTATAAAAAAGCATCTATAGTAACATCTATTAAATCAATGAAGCAATGACATAAACCTCACCTGTCCGTTCTTCAGAAGGTCTGCCCACATGCTGGTTCCGTCCCCACCCCTCATCAGGACGTTGTAGGTAAAGAAGTACGTCCCGGGCACCTTGCACACAAACTTTCCCGACGAACTGTCATAATTATTCCCGATGTTGGTGACCACGTCATCGAACCTCAGGATCTCGTAGCCCTCCTGTGGGTTCCTCAGGCCAGCGTAGAATGCCACGCGGGGCCCCATTGCATAGGTGGCTGTGCTGATGCCTGTCGCAGCTCTACCACCCAAGGAGAAGATCCCCGGCTGCTCTACCCCATTCTTTTCTCCTGGTGGTCCCATGGGTCCTGGTGGACCTGGCTCTCCAGGCGGTCCCGGTGGTCCTGGAGGTCCAGGAGGTCCGGGCTTCCCTGGGCGTCCCGTCCTGCCCTGTGGCCCGTGGGAATAGGTGGGCAGCGGGGGGCCCATGCTGTTGTCGGTCAGGGCCTCAGCCTGGATGTGCGTGACAGCTGTGCCCATGGCTCCAGCTGTCGTGCCGCCCGCTTTGTCCAGGTAAGGGTCGCAGACCATCCGGCAGGTGCCCAGCATCTCATAGCGGCTGGCGTCCTCGCTGCTGCCCACCGAGCTGACAAGGACAGGAATGAGCACCACCAGGATGAGGAGCAGCATGACGGCGGCTGCGGCCCCCAGCAGGGTCTTCCGTCCCAGGCTGAGGCGGGAGAGGGGCGGGGCCGCCAGCGCGGAGCTCTCCCCGCACGGCGGAATGGTGAGAGACGGACGGGAGAGGGAATCCAACTCCCTCCACCTATACGCTCAGCACAAGGACGCTGGAGGGTCCTCCAAGTTTGTGTGTATATGTGCGTGTGTATGTGTGTGTGTGTGTGTGTTTGTGTGTATGTGTGTGGAGACTAGGAGTGTTCTTAGGTGAGTGGAGAAGAGTCTATGTATGTGTGCAGGAGGAAGAGAAGAAAGAGAAAGAGGATGATGTTCTTACACTCTCCTGACTCAGAGAAGGCAAGGGGGGGAAGTGGGAGGAGAAAGAAAGGAGGGAGAGAGGATGGAGAAAAAAGGGTTGGAGGGAGGGAGAAAGAGAGAGAGAGTGAGAGGGAGAAGTGCAACGAGGCAAACCCAACACCCAAAGACATCACAGAGTCATTTTAGTGTGCTTTTATTGTTCAGCGTTTTGAAATGTGATTTCATTTTCCACTTGTTGAGCTGGGAGATTTCAGGCTGGTGGATGGACAGAAAGAGACAGAAAGAAAGACAGAGGGGGATAGAAAGTCACCTTATGGGTTTTTGGGTGTAGCATTATATGGGTTTTTGTGGGCTTAAAGGGGAATTCTGATGAATTTTCCAAACTTCTCCATAAATTGTTGAGAGTTGAATTTAAATGACAGATAACCTCCTTAGCATTCTGGATCCAGGGGTCTGCCTCACAGCACAGTATTTTTTTTTTCTTTTTCCAGCTAACTAAGCTAAGTTTGATCTAACCATGGGGGCAGTTGTGACAGCATTGCCTTTTACTATTATAAACACTTTTTTCTACAGATTTTGGTAAAACAATTTCTGTTTTTATTTTAGCAACCTCTCTGGATTGAGTATCTAAACCTGGACTAATCACAGCCTGAGTATAATCTAGATTAATCACAGTCTGAGTATCTAGCATTTAAAGCATTAAATGCTTCAGACAACTGGTTGCTATCACCACCATTATACACAATTCTGACTCTGTAAGTTACACCAGAATGTAGCATTTCACATCAAATCACTCTGAGTGACTTTACACCTTAATTTAATTAGGCAGAAAATTGGTGGAATTTTCCCTTAAATTCCAGAGACAGATTCAAGCATGCCTGTGCCTAAACGGAATATGAGGACGAGAAGGAAAAAAGAAAAACAGTGAGTGGCAGTGAGGAAACTGAAGATGAAGAAGAGAGAGATCCCATCATCATGATGTCTCAGCTGATTAAATATCAAATTAAAGCCTGGATAATTGTCGTTTTATCTTTATCATCTTGCTGCCTGGAGTTGGACTCTGGCCCAGTTGGTTGGGCCATGCTCTGTCCATGGTTGATTGCTGAGCAACCGTCACTGACCATAGAGAACGGCAGGGTCTGGCTTTCACCTGCTGCTAAGCTAGGTACTTGCCAGTTGGAAGTGCATGGTTGTGAGGCCAGGTCAAATGATTAGAGATGTCTGAATGCCCACAGGGTGCTTGGTAGCAGAACATGACCAGTAGTCCAGAAAATTGGCCAACCTTTGCCTTCCCAGACTGGTGATGTGGATCTCTCCTAGAAGAAAGAGTTGAATAGACCTGGCTGCTACCTTAAATTGGATGGAAGAAGGGAAAAGATGTTTAGCATCTCTCTCTCACTTGCACACACACTCCCACACACCCACATCCTCACGCAAGCTTTCTTTCTGCCCTCTGCCTTATGCACCATTACATAATCATGTCATTATACGTTAGCTCGCCTTGATTTTAGCCGTTGACAACGTCCGCATCTGAGGCAGTTCCGCTGTGCTAGTGAGTTGAGTGGAACTGGTTCCAGGCATTGCATGCGGCTAGCAAACGCCTAACTGGTTCGTTAGAACGGAAAACAGATCACTTCTGTTGGAAAAGACCTCTCTTGTTAAAACTGGAAATGGTTCCAGTGTGCTGGTGCATGAAGTAATGTTGCCTTGAAATGTAGGCTTCTATGTTAGCGCACTCAGGCCATGCTTAGAAGACCAGCGTTAGCTGTGTCCTTATAGGCAAGTCTGTTCAGTTAGCAGCAATCGTGGCAAACATCCATTATTAATGGTCATACAAGACGGTCTCCAATCTACTTGAACTGGAACTCAAAACTGTTTCAAAAACTTGGGGAATGGTTTGCCTAAATACAATTTTAGTTCATTTTTATTGAACATAATTATAAGCATAAATTATAATCATAATTATAATAATACTTCAGTAAGACTTTTTTTTCCACTGTTAAGCTTTGGTTGGAAACAAAAGGGTTACATTGGAAGGATTTATTTTCTCTTTGGTAACAGAAGCTGGACTGAACACAGATTAACCACTTACATAATTGGAAAGTGATGTTTTGATTTCCAGTGGGTGGAACCAATTTTGAGAGGTCTTCTGGAAGTCCTCGATATGTCACTGATTGCAAGTACAGGTGGTAGCCTGACCAGTGAGATTCAGTCAGATGTTAGAAATGGAAAACAAAGTCAGTTCTGTCCTAAGGTTCCTGTAAAAATGCTGCATGGTAAAATATATGTTAATATGTCTGTGACAAACTTCAATAAAACATCAAATGTCTATTGTAACTTCAAATGTTTAGTCTACAGTGGCCAAAATATGTGAATCGCTGTTAGATGAGTGCTAATGTACTACTAGAATCCCATAGTGGTGCTAGCGGAAATTAGTATTATCATAGTTTTTTCTTGTTTTTGACATTTATAAAACAAACTGCAGGCCTCACCCTGATAGTCACAGTTTGCCACTGGTAAAAAATGACAATATCAAGTTCAACACATATGTGCATTTTCCCTTTCCCTGTGGAGGGACTTAAGGGTCAATTAATCTAAGGCAGTTGGTTCTTTGTTGGGAAGGTGGTGACGTGTTAGTATATGTTGTGCTGGTATGAGTGGATCAGACACAGCAGTGCTGCTGGACTTAAAACACTGTGTCAATTTGCTGTCCACTGTATTAGACACTCCTATCTTGTTGGTCCACCTTGTAGATGTAAAATCAGAGACAATAGCTTATCAAGCCGCACACTTTGTGTTGGTCAACCTCCAGTCCTTCATCAGTGGTCACAGGACGCTGCCCACAGGACGCTGCCCACAGGACGCTTTTGGCTGGATATTTTTGGTTGGTGGGCTAGTTTAAAACTCCAGCAGCACTGCTGTGTCTGATCCACTCAGACCAGCGCAACACACACTAACACACCACCACCACATCAGTGTTACTGCAGTGCTGAAAACGACCCACCACCCAAACAATACTTGCTCTGTGGTGGTCCTGACCATTTGAGAATAGGGTGAAAAGGGACTAACAAAGTATGCAAAGAAACAGATGGACTACAGTCTGTAATTGTAGAACTACAAAGTGCACCTATATAGTAAGTGGAGCTGATAAAATGGACAATGAGTATAGAAACATGGAGGTGGTTTTAATGTTATGGCTGATCTGTGTAAATTCATGGCAAAGTACCATCATAATGTATTATTTATACTTCATTCTAGGCCTTAGAAAACCATACAGCCCAGCCGTCCCCATCCGTAACCAACCACAAGCTGCAGAACATGACTTATGTCATCCCTTCTCTCTTTCTGTTCATCAGTATGTCCAGTATGTATAACCATAGCTTTTAGTTTGAATTGTAGATGACTGTTATATCACTGTCATGTTGCATTTGTACAGAATACAGAATCATCTGTGTCCTTCTGCAGTCGGTCTAAATGACACGACCTTTTCAGATTGAGCCCCTTCCGCTGCTTGAAACAGTCTAGACTGAGGCCATGGCCATAATCCCCCCCTTCCCTCATCTCTAATACTACACATTATGACTCAAGTTATTTGACTCCCGACTTCATTTATTAATTTTTTGTCCCCCGCCTTCTTCGTGTGGGATGCTGAGGAGTGCCAGGGGTAGAGGAGTGTAGCCGTGGGTTGTTGGAGGGGGAGAGGACGTTTCATCACTGGCTGTGGGCAGCCTGAACAGTGGGCAGTGAAACTGCGGGCACCGTCCGCTCGCCGCTGACTCACAGGAGCCTTGCCCTTGACCGGGGCCGTAACGGAATGTGGACAGCACACTGCAGAGAGATTCTCTCATCATCTCTCTGCCGTCCCACAGTTCCTCCAGTCCCCTTATCTGTCCCTCATCCCACGAGGGGAGAACAACAACTCCCCCGAGTCAGTCCTGGAGGCCAAAGAGGCACATCGTGTTTGTGTACCCGGAAAAAAATCCATGAGGGCGAATCGCTAACTTGTAATTTGATTTTACTTGAAAGCAAACATAATGCAGAGATCAGACCCAGGGCAGAGCCAGGGACATGATAGAAGTGTGTGTGTGTGTGTGTGGGGGGGGTATGTGTGCATATTTGTGTGTATGAGTGCATATTTGTGTGTATGAGTGTGTGTGTGTGTGCATATTTGTGTGTATGAGTGTGTGTGTGTGTGTGTGTGTGTGTGTGTGTGTGTGTGTGTGTACAAGAAGCATTGCTGTCAGAACAAAAGATCTCCAAAATGGTAAATTTGCAGCAGAAAGAAAAAACATTTTAGTTATAATGTTAGACAATGTAGCAATAGCCCACCAACCAAAAATATCCAGCCAACAGTATCCTGTGACCACTGATGAAGGACTAGAGGATGACTAACACAAACTGTGCAGCAACAGATGAGCTAATGTCTCTGACTTTACATCTACAAGGTGGACCAACAAGGTAGGAGTGTCTACCAGAGTGGACAGTGAGTGGACACAGTGTTTAAAAACTGCAGCAGGACTGCTGTGTCTGATCCACTCATATCAGTGCAGTATATTCATATAAGACCAATAACAAAATAGATTTTGTTCTGATAGTGAAGATATATACAACTAAATATATCACATTTTCAATATTAACTATGTCCACCTTTTGTCTTTATTACAGCTTCCATTCTTTTCAGGAGTCTTGCTTTC